CACAGAGGCCGGACCCCCGTCACCGCCAGGCTGGACTGGGCCTCCCTGGGCGGCCCCAGCCAGGCCCCCTCCCGGAACCCAGCACCGACACAGACCTGGGGCTTTACAGGCGGAGGGAGTGGGGCCCAGAGCGCAAGGAAGTGAGAAGAAAGACCAAGGCTCTTGTCTGACTCTCGTTCCCATGGAAACCTCCAGCGGTCAGACAGGAGCAGTGCAGCCTGGGAGACCTACCCGCTGGGGGCACTTGCCTCTCCTCACCCAGAGATGCCCACCGCACCCCTGCTGGTGCCTCGTTGGCTTCCATGTGGGGTCGGCTCCTCCCGCCCCGGCAGCCCCTCACCCGAACTCTGCTCTTCCCAGTGGGAAGGCGAAGGGTCCGCACTTTGCATTTCCTGGGGGTCCGGGCCAGCCCGGGGGCCCTCAGCTGCCCCATCCCCCGGGGTGGGTCCCCTGAGCATGGCACCGCTCCTCCTCAGGCACAAGTGCCTGCAAAGCTGGTCCAACCGCCTGCTTCCCGCACGTCTACTTCTGTGGTCACACCCAGGATGTCGGTCAGTGCAGCAAACATCCTACATCATCTTGGATCACACCTCCTCTCCTCTCCTGCCTGGGGCGTGTTGCTGTGGTTGGAAATGGTCTCCCTGCTCCCCAGACCGCGCCCCCCTCAGGCAGCCTGGGTATCAGGGACCCAGGCCCTTGAGAAGGACCTTGAACCTCTTGGAGGTTTTCTCTTCACTTGTCCAGTGAGGCGACCCCGTGCCATCGTCCTCATAACTGCTGTTCAGTGCCCTGCTTCCCTGCATGCAATAGGGCTGGGACTCTGGGTCCCCAGGGGAGGGCCTGGCACCGTGTAGATGTTCTATAGATGGACAGGCTGGTGGGAGAGTGGAGGGAGGGAAGGAGAGGCGGATGGGTGGCGGGGGTTCCTCAACTGCTTGGCGGGTGGTTACGTGAATGAGACGAGAGGAGACAAGGACGTGAGCAGAAGCTCCTGTTCGGGGGGCGGGGGGGGGCACTTGTACAGGTCTGGCCCCTGTGTGGGCCTGGTGTGGGCAGGACCGGGGACCGGCAGCGAGCGCACACCAGCACTTCCTCTGCACCAGGCCCTGTTTAGCTTGTTTCATTCATCTTAATGGGGAAACTGAGGCACAGAACGGTTAGAGTGGACCCCGGGCCACCAAGCTGCCAAGGGCTCTGGGCCCTGCCTCAGAGGTGCCTCCAGGCCCAGGACCCAGCCTGAGCACCGCACCCTGCAGACGGGAGACGACGTCCCATCCGGTCCGACCCGGGGGGGTGTGAGTTTCTGCCGCGCCTTTCGGGACGGGCAGTGACGGCTCCTGTGCCCACAGGACAGAAGCTGCTGGACTCGCTGGCGGAGACGTGGGACTTCTTCTTCAGCGACGTGCTGCCCACCCTGCAGGCCATCTTCTACCCGGTGCAGGTGAGCAGCCCGACGCCCCGGGCCCCCAGCCCACGGTGACAGCCCGGCCTGGCCTGGCGAGGGACACCTTCTGCCCCTCGCTGCCTTTGCGGGCTGTCTGCACCCGTAGCAGGGCCAGGCACGCTGCCCCTGGCCCTCTCAACCTGCTTCCCACCCACAAGATGGAAATAAGGCAGCTCCTTCCTAAAGGCCCTACAAAGCCTGAGCAGCACGTAGTAGGCCATGCTCAGCGCACAGTAGGGGCTCTGTGTGTGACAGGTCAGTGGGTCCCTGCCCCTGTGTCCGGGGTCGCCCGTGACTGGTGGGCGTTGCGCATTCTGTGTCCGCAGGGCAAGGAGCCGTCGGTGCGCCAGCTGGCCCTGCTGCACTTCCGCAACACCATCACCCTCAGCG